AGTATCTCATAAACAAAGAGTAAAATACCATATAGGAGTGACAATTTTGAAACGTACGTTTCAGGAAAGCACTTTAAAAATTTTTTGTTCCGTTTTTAAAACTTTTATTATTTTTTTGGTTTTATTAACATTTGAAGTTTTATAAAATATCTATGGTAACGCAATATCTTTGGTGATTTTTTATTAATAGAGGTTCTTTAATGTAAAAACACAAAATTTTGTCACGACCATCACGGATATAAAACTGAATATTAAAAATAGTTAATACTTTTTTATAACTATATTTTGCTATAAATTAATTTACTTTTAGGGCCATTATACAATAAACAGCTCACTAAGCTTTTGGTATATTTAGTCTTTTTAGAAAAGAATGAAAAACTCAAAAAATGAAAAAAGCCAATAAAACCTTTTTAAGTTTGTATAACTCCGAAAAAACTTACCTGAGACCCGAAAAGTCGTTATGTTTTTATAGGGGCATGCTTTTTTTTGTGTATAAAACATTGAAATAATATATTTTAATTTTTGAAATTTATATAATAGAAATGATAAACACGATGGTCAGGAACAAGCGGTACGGTCGTGAATTGTCTGAAATCATCTATATCTTTCTAATAACCCTTCAATTATACTGTTAGTTATAGTAAAAATATGTGTTTCAATTGAACTAAATTGTTCAATTCACAATGATAGTTATTGTCACGACCAAACACAGTATAATCCATAAGGCTGGATTGGTCGTGAAAAACCCCGAGATGGTCGTGAAACTTTGGTCGTGACATTACGTGTTTTTTGGCTTTGTTCTGGCGGTAGCCCTGCACCTCATGTTTGAGGATACAACATGGACTTCTAGATTAATCTAGCAATAGAAATATCTACGGTCATGGACACACCAAAATTACAAAAACACAAACTTGCCTTTATTAATCTTAGAATTCCTCCTATAAACTCGAAACGACCGGCACTACAATCCTGACGTACACCCCGAACTAGTCTCTAAACTAACTGACTCCATCGACGCCAGGCAGGCTTGTCACTGTCGTGCTCCAAAGTTGCAAATTTTTCCTTAATGGTCGTGACGTCAAATCAAGGGACAGACCTATTTAGACATGGTACTCAGTTTACAATGAAAACAAAATTATCATATGCTCTTTTTTCGTAAAGTCTAATAACTATTGATGTAATAAAAATACCCCCGCCGCAGCAAATCTGCCGACTAAGCGAATTTCTATTTGTCTGAATTGATTTTCAGTTAAATATATTTTAATAACATTAGGTTTAACGAGTACCTAGGTTTGCTGCTACAAGGAAACTAATAAAGTGTGTTTTTTGAGTAAAATATTGATAGCTTAGTACAAAATAAATAATTTTGCCAAGTTTGATCAAAATATATCCATAAACAAGCAAACTACAACATTAGACAATATTCTCCATAAGAATAACATGGGAATTTTAAATTTACAATTTTTTTTAATTTTCTCCGTTACTAACAATCGAACAAAAATACTTTCATATACTAAATTACTGTATTTGTTTTTTTTAAGCTCTTTAAAAAGGTCAAAAGAGAAATCGGGAAATTTTGTGTTTTGAGGGTCAAAAGTGAGAAAAACCAATTTTTACCCCATAAAACCCCCCGTAAAGCCCCGTTCCCATGGTCCGATCGTGCTGGTTCGCGAACTCATTCAAGTTTATCCCGCTTTACACCTTTAAACAAAATTTCATCAAGATCGGACAAAAATTACTCAAGTTATCGCGTTCACGGACGTATATATATATATAAGTCTATATATATATATATATATATATATATATATATTATTATTTATTATTATTATTTCTTTGTCATGAGAGCCGAAGCCCCCTGACTACGTACCCGGTACCTATCGTGAGACATACCCGGGCCCCATGATGTAGGCCGAAGCTTACGCATCAACCTTTAGCACATCATGGGCGGATGACTTAAGGTCATCAGGCTCGCCGGCTGCCGAAGCAGACCCTTCGGAAAGAGGGTTGCCCCTCAATCCTAACCAGGGATTCCGGCTGCTTGTTTAAGCGTCACTCCACCTGGGTTCCACCAGGTACAAGCCCTAGAGGACCATAATGGAGCGCCCCGACGCATTTAGTGCAAGCAACACTCGGGACCTATCTAATCCCTGACAGGCAGAACCCGCCATCGTAGCCAGAAGGAAGGGGACCGTCAGCACGCTGACGGGGGGAACCCCAACCTCCCATTTACACCACTACCCGATCGAGGCCTTACCCAGTTGCTGGGAAACCAGAGATAACCAGAGCGATAGATCCCCAGATACCCCTGGCGGGCTCGGACCCAGCACCCGATCTACTTCGTTTGCCCGTCAGACCCAACATCACTGCCAGGCCATCAGGGTTTCCCAAAAGGAGGCAGGTATAGAAGTGGGACCCACCCGGATGAACCTATCCACCAGAGGTGGCGACACCCTTGACTCAATTGAGGTTCCGGGAATAACCCCCCACACTGAAGATAACCATACCGTCCGTGCTCAGAGACAGGGATTGGTTTGCATAAGTGCCTACAAACCGTTACCCTCACACTGCGGAAAGTTACGTTGCCCTTGAGTGTCCCCGTGATCTACGGGTACTTGCCCGTTTTCACCTCCAGGAAAGGCTACTTCCAAAGTCGAGGATTTGCCACACTGAATGCTGGTCGCACACAACAAGCAGGCCGAAACCCAAAGAACCACAGACACAGGTAGGTTAGATAATATGATGCACTTCCATCTCTCCTAGAGCTAAACACCCCTCCATCCTGGATAAAGGAATGTCACTGGGACCCAATGCCCAGTCGTCCATGTCTGTGGCCTACTTGAAAATGCCGATACCAACACCGAGCAGTTACCTCCCCTTTGGGGGCTAGGTTTTTCACCTCCCAGGACGAGGCTACTTCCAAAGTCGAGGATATGCCTCACAAAATGTCAGTCGAACACAACAGGTAGGACGAGCCCGAAGAACTCAAGTCACAACCACAGTTACAGGTAGGTGAGGAGAGGCGGAATTAACGGCGTCACTGAGAGCTAAACACCCCCCCCACCCTGAATGGAGGGAGTGTCACTGGAGGCTCCCCCTAAGGGACTGGCGCTTACCAGTCGTCCATAACTGTGGCCTACCTGAAGTGCCGGGTCTGACACCGGGCAATTACCTCCCCTCTGGGAGAGCTAGGGTTTTATATATACATATATAAAAATTAGAACGAATGGTGTTTTTGGCCTCTGGGGACATCAAAATGAAAAAGTAAATCGGTCCCGGGTCTAGGTCTTACCGTGCCACCTACGATAATAGCTACTTCCCTATAGGGAAATTCGCTAATATGACATTATAACATTTTTGCATGAATAATTATTCTAAAAACAGCATGGAAGTTGCAAAATTTACCCTAGGGACACGTGACGGTTGTGAGTTTCGAGACCTTAAAAATACGAAAAAATACCTAGAACCTATTTAAAGCCAAATAATTGTGTGTAAGATGTTGCCCCCGTCCCAAAAAATATTAAAACACATAATGATAAACTACATATTCAGTATCTACGAAGTAAAAGGCCAGGGACATAAAAATTAACGTTTCAAAATTTTCACTCATAGATGTAACAATCCCTTACAAATTTGTCATCTTATCATCGATCAATTATGGAAATTTATTCAAAGGTAATTTCGTTTGGTTTATGTTTTAAGAGATAGATCTTTGACTATTGGATAAGTCAAAGGTAGCATGTATAATTAAGGTGCCACATTGTTATTAAAAACGAAAATCATAAACTAATGATATAAAAGTAGTTGTTACCATAATTAATAAAAAAAAAAAATTTAGTACATTTTCGTAGCTTCTAAAACAATGTTTTTTGTGACCATTAAGTTACTGTGTTATATGTAATAACTTACTAGAGCTAGAACAGATTTGCTGGGATTTTGTCATGCTTACAATATATAATTGAATGTACTATGAAAAAAGTGTGCTGATTTGCTGTTTTTATCCAGTCAATCAGGTTGTTTTGCACATCAATGGTACACGCTACCTGTATATTGTCATTGTCAAAATAGTTGATTGAGACCATCTTTGCTCAATTTCAATTAAATATCATTTTATCATTTTAATATTCTTATTTAGTTTAACATCATATAATATTTAATAAATTATAAGATATAATAAGTTAGTTGTAAAAAACATAGTTAGGAAGGAAATAAATTCAGGTGTGCCGTTGGCAAAATGTTTTCCTTTCGCAGCGGAAGCCGCTGAATTCAGCGTGGACGCAAAAGTGCGGCAAGTAAAGTGACAAACATTGGAAAAAAAAACAAACAACATGATTTTCCACGAATTATTTAGCTGTACGGAAGTTGAGAGTGTCCGCGCTGTAACAGTGGGCCGCCTCCTAAGAGGTAAATTCTAGTTACAAAGATAGGACAGGGATAGGCCTAACTTATTTGGCCTGGCTTGGTATTCCTGCGGCAAACATTCATTACTTTTTAAACTTTAACTTTATGCTGTACCCTTGAATCTAAATAATGTTTTTGATTTAGGCCTAATGAAACTCTAAGCTTGGTAGAAATATTTTAAGTACTTAGCTGACCTAAAGTTTAGGCCTTAGGCTACATTAACTTAACCTTTTTTAACCCTTCCGATGCTAGAATTATTTTGTACTTTCATATTATACAGAGGCCACCCTTATACAGCGCGCTGCGGCTGTTATGTTAGGTTGGATTATCATAAATATGTTTGTAGGACTTTCATCGTTTTGTTATGAATCGAATGATACCAGATGAATCATACTTTCGCCCGTAAAATCCCCTCCAAGTAGACCAGGGTCAGGTCTTAGACCGGAGTGCGCGCATGGCCTGTCACCTCGCCTGTATCTGGTTCAGTGTCCTGAGTGATGACACATCTGTTATTGTTCAATTCACAATTTAACGAGAAAAGCCCTTCAAACATATTTATGACAACCTAACATAACCGCTGCAACAAGCTGTATACGTACTTGGCGGAGTACATGTGGCTGCTAGCGGTGGCGACACATTCAACTCAATCTTCGCCGACATTGCTGCCTTCTGAGAGGCATAGACTAACTCAAAGGCTGCTAAGTTAATTGTAATAATGTCAAATTTGCACAGTAAGTCAATTAAAGTATGTTCTTTTCAATTATGTAGTAATTTTTAGTCCCCAGTAAAAAAATTATTCTTAAAAGTAAGTGGCCTCGGTATAAGTTAATAGGTACCAAAGTAACTTACCTTTTTTTGTAATAAAAAAATGCTAAAGCCTTAGCCTATTTACTTATTTTGTCCGAAAAAGTGGTAGGCTTGCCACGGGGGCAAATTCTAGCGTGCGAGAAAAAATCAGTCGGCTAAAAATAAAATGTTTCATCTCAAAAGTGCCAAGTAACGATATATTGGGCCTCGATCGTATGAAGAATCGAAAGAAACCATCGCTGTTTCAAAACAACAACGTAGTCAACCAATATGCCCATTTAGGGTCAACTTGGGTAATTGTGAACGCCAATGACAAATTTTTCAGATAAACGCAATTTACTATAAGAAAATTGTAAGCAATTTTAAAAATGTGATCAGTGTTATACCATTATGCATATTTTGGGCTTAATATTTAATATAAGCCGATATCATCCCCTATTTAGTCAAGGAGTTATTCAGCATTCACAATTGCCTAAGCTACAATTTTGGGGTAAATGTGAACTCAGTTGAGAAAACATTAAGTAACATACTACAGCATAGGAGGGGAATTGTGATTAAAGCCTAATTCAAACTGTTCACAAATTCCCCACTTTCAATGGCATGTGACAAAAAATAAGCGTGCAAATGAGATTTTTCCGTGGTACTTTGAAAAAGTTAGAAAATCAGGTAGATGTAAAAATAATAAAAAATGGTCAGAATGATTAAATTTAGAGAAAATAATATAGAGTAGAGTTATTTGATACAGTAAAGTAAAAATTTAATGACAAAATAATCTCTCTTCAATCAACGAAAGAACACAAATTTGTTTCTTAAAATTATTGAAATCCTACTGTAATAACAATCAACCATTAGAAAAGAAAACTAAATTACCTTGGTTAGATAAAATAATTAGGCACTTTCCTTTTAGGCTATACAAAATATTAGTTGTATTAAAAATGGGTTTTATCTTGAAAAAAAAAAACTAAAAAAACTAGCCTATTTAGAAATCAAATCACTAACAGATGTGCCTACTAACTGTCCTGTCCGCCTACATCTCAAAAAGTGGAACACAACCTGGGAACTTGTAAATAATCTGTGTTTCTTTTACAGGTGGGGTAAAAGTGAACAGCGTTTACAATTGCCCCAAGATTAGGTTCACATTTATTCCACATGGTGAAATATTGAGGGTAATTGTGAATTTGATAAAATAAAAAGAAAATTGTTTACAAGGAGGGTAGGAGGATATATAATGCATTATACATTTGAAATTCTTTCATAATGACTGGTTTTCATGTCAATCTGACTTTTTCTAAAAAAAAAAAAATATTTGTTAAGGTCCACGGTACTTGTTTGTCAACAAAAAACACAACTTTTTTTATTCAACCTAAAAAAAATTCGAAGCGGCTCTTAACTTTCTAGAATTTTAATCCTGTATAGAAAACAAACCAAATAATCATAAAACATTGATTTCTACTCAAATCAATAATACACTAAGAAATGACAGCCCTAGTTCACAAATCCCCCAGTTCACAATTAACCAACTCACACGGTTGTAAGTTGTGCCAACTTGATATATCGGCGCTTGGCGCTAATCAGATGAAACACGAACAACGCTGGTCAATCCTTTTATAGGTTACACTTTTCAGGAAAAAGATGCACAACGTTATATTGTTGCATAGCACCGGAGGGGTTAAAGATCTGCACAATCTTTTTCAATCTTAGCCTAGCATAATTTCTGCAGGTCTACCTAGATTTAAAAAAACCAATAAGTGAACTGCAAAGATTACATAATCTGTATTGGAGTAGATGCACTCCCCTCATTAAATAATAAGACCCAAACTTAGGCCTACTAGCTTAACCCTTTCGATGGTGAAAAACTAATTTTTTTTGTAATTTTCTGAAAAATCCTAGAGTTATTTACTTATTTCGTCTGAAAAGTGCTAGGCTTGCTACAGGTGCAAAGTGTAGTGTGCGAGAAAAAAAATCGGTAAAAATAACATTTTCCCATTCTAAATTGCTAAGGAACGATATATTGGGCCTCGATCGTTTGATGAATTGAAAGAAACCATTGCTGTTTCGAAACAACAACCGAGTCAACCGATATGCCCATTTAAACTCACACGGTCGAAAGTCGTGCCGGCACTATAGCTTATATCGTTGCTTAGCATGACTCGGATGAAACATTAACAACGATAAATCGTTCCATACAGCACTTTTAGGAAAAAAGACACACAACGATATATCATCCCATAGCACTGAAAGGGTTCATTAATTAGTTAATAGGCTAGCTGATTAATTGAATTAATTTTATTAGGTTGGTTGGCCTATTATTTTGTATCTAAGTCTAATTCCACAAAACACTTTTTTTTAACGGCTATAGCTCAAAAACGGTATGAGCTAGAAAAGATTTGAAATAATTTTCATAGTCAGGAATTAAATTTTCTACCAAACATCTAGAGTATGTTTTTTTTTTTTTTATTGCACTCCTTCACCTTAAAAACTACTTTCAAAATTTGGTAAATTTCTTTCAAATTTTTATTGGCTAACACTATTTTTTCCTACCTAAGTAATTTTTTAGCAAATATTATTAATACTTTGTATTTTCCGTAAGTTAGGTACTTTAAATTTTACTCACTACATGTTTTTTCGTAACTTTACTCTTTGATCCCAATAAAATTTGAAAGGTTTTACCACTTTTACGAGCCCCATGTTATTCTTATGGAGAAAAAGATAGAAATTTAAAGACTGTGGTATGCTTAACTGAATCGTTTAGACACGTTCTAGAGGCTTGAAATTTGAATAGGGTGTGGAAGGTCACCTTAGATTGTCCAGAAAATTTCCAAAAGTCCCATTTTCAAATTTTAATCCCATGAAAAATCCAAAACGGCGGACGTATAAAAATGAAAAAACATATTTGTTTATAACAGCTATAACTTTAAAACGGTAAGAATTTTCATGGTCAGGAATTAAATTTTCAACAAAACATTCTTGGGTGTTTTCCGAAAATCACACCCCTTCCTAAAAACACACTACTTTAAAAAAATGTAAATTTCTTTAAAATGTTTTCTGGTTTTCGCTACTTTTTCCTACCTAAATAATTTATTTTTCAAACATTATTAATGATTGGTTTTCACCTTTTTTTTATTTAAATTTTAGTCTCCACATTTTTTTTTAACTTTACTTCTTGACCCCCCAAATTTAAGTTTAATGTCAACATTTGAAATATTTTACCACTTTTACGAGATTACAACTAATTCTTTAACTATTCTATGGGCGCAAGGGTATTGAAACTGTAAGTTAAACAGTTTATTGTATTAGGTCTAACCATAATGGTATAAATATAAAAGGTACCATAAAAAATTCCCCCCCCCCTCCGAAATTAGTTTCCCCCCTTATATCTACCCTAAAGCCACAATAGGTGCATCAGTCTAAATCACGTTTACCTACTTTTAGATTAACTGGAGATTGAAATTTGGCACGATTGTAGATCTTGCGCCCTTTTTTTAGAAGTTGCATTTATTAATAATAGCCTCCCCCCAAAATATCGAATCCCTCCCCCAAATGTTATTCTTATAGGTGCATTAGTCTAAATCACGTTTACTCACTTCTATATTGGCTGGAGATCTGAAATTTCCGTGCGATTGTAGGTCTTGCGCCCTTTTTGAAAAGTGACATTTTACAATAATAACCCCCCCCCCCCATTTTATTCTTATGGCGAATAACCTCGAATATGGCTGACTTTGGTATGCGGATCCAAACCGTTTAGAAACGTGTTAGAAACTTAAAACTTTACAATAGTGAATAACTTTATCTTAAATAACCCATAACATTTTCAAAAGTCCAAATTTTAAAGTTTTAACCTCACAAAATCCAAAATTTCGGTCATCTGAAATCGACATGTTATTTATTTTAAACTTCTATAACTCAAAAACGGTTCTAGCAAAGATATGCAAGAATGTTCATGGTCAGGAATTAAACATTCCCATAAAAGACATATTAAAACTTTTCGATCCTCAAAAAAATTAAAATGGCGGGTTTTCAAAATAGTCTGAATCTTTTTTCCTGAGCACTACACGTTTAAATGTCAACTGTCACACATTCACAGACGTGCTAGATACTTGACATCTAGCAGGATGGATAGACTGAGATACTAAAGCCCATATATTAAAGGAATTTAGAATTTTAAAATGTAGCCCCTCTGCCTCTCAACTTATAATTAGGTCCCCAACAGATCATGAACCACTGACTTTCATCGTTGTAAGTTCTTGAAATCTTTCACAGTTACTAGTCTTCGTTTTATAAGATTTTCATGGTCAGGATGTAAAATTTTCTACAAAACCTAGAGCGTTTTCAAAAAATTACACTTCTTCCTGCATTGTTAAATCCAATGAAAACCAACAGCTGGGGGCCTGGGGCGGAGCCCCCAGCAAGCCAAAGGCGAGTTCACCCTATACCGGGAATAAGCTAATACCATATGTCTCATATGGTAAGACTTTTAAAACTATTTAAACCTGGGACTAATTTACTTTTGGTTTTGAAGTGTCCGTTAGCCCGATAACTGGAGGAATAATCATCCAATTTGGCTGAAATTTGGGACAAACGTTAAACCCTACGTTTATTCAAGAGTGAAAATTTTGAAACGTACGTTTTCAGGAAAAGCACTTTTAAAATTTTTTTTTCAGTTTTTTGAAACATTTATTATTTTATATTTCATTAACATTTGAAGTTTCATAAAATGTCCTTGGTAACGTAATATCCTTGGTGATTTTTTAAATAATAGAGCATCTTTGATGGAAAAACATGAAATTTGGCACGACCATCACGGACATAAAACTGAATATTAAAAATAGTTAATATTAGTTTTATAACTATGTTTTGCTATAAATTAATTTACTTTTATGGCCATTATATAATAAACAGCTCACTAAGCTTTTGGCATATTTGGTCTTTCTAGAAAAAAATAAAAGAAAACTCAAAAAATTAAAAAAGCCAATAAAATCTCTTTAAGTTTGTAAACTCCGAAAAAACTTACCTGAGACCCGAAAAGTCGTTATGTTTTTATAGGGGCATGCTTCTTTTGTGTATAAAACATTGAAATGCATGAAATGCATGTGTGTCAGGTGATGGTCAGGGACAAGCGGTACGGTCGTGAATTGTCTGGAATAATCTATATCTTTCTAATAACCCTTCAATTATACTGTTAGTTATAGTAAAAATATGTGTTTCAATTGAACTAAATTGTTCAATTTACAATGATGGTTATTGTCACGACCAAACACAGTATAATCCATAAGGCTGGATTGGTCGTGAAAAACCCGAGAAGGTCGTGAAACTTTGGTCGTGACATTACGTGTTCTTTGGCTCTGTTCTGGAGGTTGCCCTGCACCTCATGTTCGAGGATACAAAGTGGACTTCTAGGTTACGAATAGCTAGATATTGCTAGATATTTCTAGCAATAGAAATATCTACGGTCATGGACACACCAAAATTACAAAAAACACAAACTTGCCTTTATTAATCTTGTAATTCCTCCTTTAAACTCGAAACGACCGGCAATCCTGACGTACACTCTGAAGTAGTCTCTAAAACCAACTGACTCCATCGACGCCAGGTTTGTCATTGTCGTGCTCCAAAGTTGCAAATTTTTCCCTAATGGTCGTGACGTCAAATCGAGGGACAGACCTATTTAGTCATAGTTTACAATGAAAACAAAATTATCATATGCTCCTTTTTCGTAAGTTTAATAACTATTGATGTAATAAAAATATGACATTATATATTTCGGCATGAATAATTATTCTAAAAATAGCATGAAAGTTGCAAAATGTACCCTAGGGACATGTGACGGTTGTGAGTTTCGAGACCTTAAAAATACGAAAAAAATACCTAGAACCTATTTTAAGCCAAATAATTGTGTGTAACATGTTGCCACTGTCCCAAAAAATATTAAAACATATAATGATAAACTACATAGCCTACCCAGTTTCTACGAAATAAAAGGCCAGGGACATAAAAACGTACGTTTCAAAATTTTCTTTCTCAAACGTGTTTGTGAACGAGCATGATCGTATGAAGGGAACGTGGTTTAATTGGGGGTTTTATGAGTTAAAAGTTGGTTTTAGTGAATTTTCCATGACTGAATAAGCTAGTACTGTAGATGGCATGGTAAGACTAGCCCCGGGACCGATTTGCTTTTTTGTTTAGAGGTCTAAAGAGGACAAAAACACCATATGCTCTAATTTATATGTAGAACCTCTATTAACTGTCTCTCTTTTAACCGTTACTCTTTGTTATCCGTCACATCGTTACAGTTACTTAGATTATTTTAAAATGTGATTTTATTTCACTGTATGAACATTGAACAAGTACAACATACCAAATAATAGTTCTGTAGCCTATTACTCTTGTATGTTAGTAATTTAAATATGTATTAAGTTACTCACTTATTCAGGGTTAAATTTCTTACAAAACCTTTTATATCAACTGACTGTACAGTCTTAGTCACACTCCTAGTTCCGAGGGGGCGGGTAATAGAGGTTTTACTGTATTATCTAAGTATCCGTTAGCTCGATAACCGGAGTAAAAATCATTCAATTTTGATGAAAATACACACGAGTAAAACCTACATTTATTCAAAAGAGTTTACGAACCAGCACAACCAGACTATATGGGAATGAGGTAAAAATTGGGATTTTCCATTTTTAACCTCCAAAACACAAAATCCTGCAATTTTTTCTGAACAATTTTTGTAAAGCTTGAATAAAATTAAAATTCCAGTGTTATTCTTATGGAAATGTCTTCATCTGTTTGTTCATAGATATAGTTTGGTAAAATTGGGCTAATTTATTTCATACAAAACTAAGCTATTGACCTAAAGCTGCAAACCTAAGTTCATATAAAAATTAAAGTTATTTAAACAGGGAATAAATCTGACAACATGGAAAATTCAGGTCTGCTCTGGCAGGAGCATTTCCCATTTTTATCTCTTAATTAAAAGATAAAAGTTTAGAATTTTTTCTAAAAACCATTTATGGAGATTAACAAAACAAATAACTTAACTTAGTAGGCTATATAAAAGCTTTGCTGTGCACTTTATTTTATGACTAACTTAAGTAGGAGAAGATTTTCAAACTCTACAAATATAAAATTCCTATGTTATTCTTATGGAGAGTTACAAAATTGTTGTACAATAGTTTGTTTGTATTTCGATCAAATTTGGCAAACTTATTTTTGTTTCATTGTAAGCTAAAAATGTTACTAAAAATAATCCTTAGGTTCCTTGTAACAGAAAACCTAAGTACTTTCATCTTCTGCCCACTGACAATGTCAATACATGTCCATGACAATAAAATGTTTGATTTATTGATTTTATTGATTGATTAATTGACTGATTTGTTTGATTTTACGGATTGACTCATTAGACCTGACCTAAAGTTATTTAAATGGGGAACACATTTAATATTTTTTAGGATACATTTTGATTCAGATTGAATCAGGCAGATAGGAATTCACTTAGTCTACTGGTTTGCTGTGGTATGGTATCATTTGTACTTTTCACCTCTGAATTAGAAGGGATTAATTTGTATATTAATATTAGTTTAAATATCTGCTTCTGAGTTATCCAAATCTTGCTTATGCCACAACGAGTTTGGACTTGTCTTGTCTTCCAATGTAGTTTTGTTTTAGAGCAATGTCTAATTTATGGGCTAAATTGTAAGGTGGTGAAGTTGACAAGTGGTCTCACTCTTTTATTGGAACATGGATTTATGAAAAAAATCTTATGGATTTATTTTGTATTTTTTGGTAACGTCTTGCAACACAGGGGCTCGGTGATTTGTGACCATCAATTGATAAGAATAAGTGCCCTTAGGGTATTACGGAAACAGTAATGTTAACAAATTGCTGATCTTGTTGATGCTCAATATCTATAGCAGTATAAATAATTTATTATTTGTAAATCATAATTTATAATGCAGAACTGATATTATTGTGTAAGAAGGTTTGGAATAAGTTAGTAAATAAAATGCACCCTTGAACATAAACACTATGACACCAAACATAAAAAATAAAACACGTTTAATTTTTATTTTTATTTTTTTTCTACTGATACCAGAGATACAAATTAAACCAAATATTAACCTTAGTTTTTTGGACCAATCTTTCATCAGTTACAAGGACTAATGAGTTGACCCACAACTGAACCATCAAACAATTTGCGACTGTTCTGTTAAAAAAGGCTGTGAAAACTTCAGAATTGATATTCACTACCTATTTTTAAATCAGGGCCAGCATTTTAACAATGTTTTATCATCATCCATCCATAGTCAAATCATATTTTAACAACACCTACACCAGCAGATTTGCAGTTTTTGTCATATTCAATTTTTGAAACAATATTTCCCTTGGGATAGTCTTACATTGATTTTTATTAAGTATTAGGATTTTTTTCTTATTTGATTCTGAAAAACACGGAAGCTAGATACACCCCTGGGCCCTTTGTATGGATGATGACATTTTATTGTCACCTGAGTCTGCATGATTGTCAAGAAAAGTCAGTAATAAGGATGTAATGAAATAAAACCTTTTTAAATGTAAGATTGTTGTGGTTGCTCTTACAGTAGACTCCCTCTTATCCGGACTCCTCGGTACAGAGGCCAGTCCGGATAACGGGTTTTCCGGTTAAACCGACGTTCCCAAAAAACTTTTTAAAACGGACTGTTTATTGTGATATTCGTCTTAAATTTAGGAGAGCATTGTATTTAGACACGTGAACAGTGGTCTCAAATCTTTCCCACGAGAACAGTCGTTTCAGTACTGCTCACTTTCTGCCGACCTAGTCCGGTTAAACCAATGTGCTGATAAAAATTGTCCGATTAAAGAGATGTCATTTCCGCCGAATGTAGTCCGATTAAGCAGATGTACGGTTAAAAGGTGTCCGGATAAGAGGGAGTCTACTGTATATTTTTATTGTATGTCACTGGTTGACTGAGTCATTTTAAATTTGTAACTGTAAAAATTGCCTCCTATATAAATTTATTACAGAAGCTTGCTTGTAAAAGTTTATAGATGTAGCCTAAAATAAACCACTAAAACTGTTTTCTTTCCTCAGGCAACAAGCAATGCGTGGTTACCGGTGCAGTCAACGGAACAGTGAAGATATGGAAGGTACAGGAGAATGCCCTAGAAACCCTCCAAGAAATTCAAAACGCGGATTGTGGGTCCATCTTCAGTGTAGGGGTTAATCCGCAGGGATCGCATATCTTTGCAATGTTCACCAGTGGTTCCATCAAGATGTGGAGCACAGATGGGGTGCTCCACGGTACTATTCAAACGAGTCCATTGGACCATTGTAATGGTGTGTTTATTGATGATTCGAGAAAGATTGTGACTGGTACCCATGATGGTAAAATCAACTTCTATTATACTGGTAACTGTGGTCTGGCCAAATCAATAACAACAACGCACGGTTTTATCAGCTCGGTTGCGTTTAGCCCAGATTCACAATTGCTTGCCGCCGGCTTTGAAAGCGGTAATGTTGTAATCTACCGTCATCGATCAGGGGCCATAATTAAAGACTGCAACCTGAATGGAAAGAAAGTGAACTGTATAAGCTTTTCTAACGACTCCAAAGAGTTCATCTCGTGCACAGGAATTGGCGTAACAATCTATGGGGTTGAACAAAACCGATTGCTCCACTTCATTCCAGCGCATCTACAACCGATACTGAGCTGCTCGTTATCAAACAACGGTAAGTTCTTTCTCACCTGCAGTGAAGACAACAGTGTAAACGTTTGGGACAAGGAAGAGTGTGTGTCCAAGGCCACAATTGTTGCACATAGTGACAGTGTTTGGGGGGCTTTGTACCTCATGTGTGATAAAAAAATTGTAACCGTTAGTGAAGACAAAACTGTAAAGATGTTTAAGCTGAAAAAAACCAGCCAATCCAAATTTGTTAGTTGGGCAGTCCCAATTGTAAACTTTATCAAACGGTCATTCTAAATCTTCTCCTTTTTCGTGTGATCTTACAAAAACAACATTCTTTATAATAATTTCTCAAACTTTAATTTAGCAGTAAAATTTAAATTGAAAAAAATTGATTGAAAACCACTGAATATTTAACTACGCCTAACTAATTCATTGCCTTTTATGTTTATAGATTTCCATTCAATGACGAGAGTATCCATCCTAAAATACAAAACAAAAAAAAACAACATTCTGTTTTAATGTTATTGTTAAGATGATTTTGTAATTTAGGAAACAGTTTTTAATCATGTCAATTGTTATTTTGGTCCCATGTAATTTTCATTTAGATTGGTTTACCTTGAATATGTTCTGTTTGAAGGTTATTATTGTTAAGATGATTGTTTTTGTAATTTAGGAAAGAGTTTTGAGTGCTGCAAATTGTTATATCAATCTTTTTTAGTTTTAGTTTCGATTTGTTTTTTCTTCCTGTTCTTTATCATGTTATTGTTAAGATGTTTTTGTAATCTATGAAAAAGTGTTGAGGGCTGTAAATAGTTGTATCGGTCCTTTGTGGTTTAATGTTGGTCAATTTTTTCCCCTAAAATTTTCTGTTTTAATGTTAAGATGTTGTTTTGTAATTTTGAAAACTGTTTTGAGTACTGTACTGAAAATTGTTACATGGGTCCTTTTCAGTTTTAATCTTGGTTTGTTTTATTTCTAAAGTTGTTCGTTCAATTAATATGATGTTATTGAAGCTGTTTTAGTGCTGTTTTAGTGTGTTTTACAGTTCTAAAAATTTTTTATGTTGGTCCGTTTTAGCTTTCATTTTGGTTTTATTTTTCTTAAATTTTTTTAATGCTATGATGTTATTGTTAAGATGTTTTTTTGGTTTAGAAAATAGTGTTGAGTACTACAAATTGTTGTTTTTTCTTTGCAGTTTTAATTTTGGTTTGTTGTTCCCCTCTAAAACTTTCTGTGTTTTTGAAATTTAGGAAAAAGTTAAATGCTGCAAACTGTCATATCAATCCTTTGTAGTTTAAATTTCTGTTTGTTTTTTCCTAAAATGTTCTGATTTAATGTTATAATGTTATTATTGTTACGATGCTTTTGTAATTCAGGATAAAGTTTCAAGTGTTGCAAATAAAAATTAATATTAGCTCAAAGTTAATTTATTTGTTTTGGTTACCGGTAGTCATAGTTTTGGGTATATGCAAGGTGTTAAAAAAAGGTGGTGACATATTTTACCTAGTGATTCCTTGAGCGAAAGTAAGGAGAAAATCAAGTATAACATTTTTTCCAAAATCTTAAAATGGGGCAAACCTGACTAGCTTTTTGCCTTATTCTACCCCATTTTGCAAATAAAAATCGTAATATTTCAGCTATTTCTAAATCGATTTTTTTGAACTTGGTATCGTTTGATAGGGATTTCAAAATGCTAAATAAAAGTATTCCAGACGTTCATAAAATCAGCCGTTTTTGGGTAGTTTAAGTTTAACAAATTCAAATGGCCTACATTTTGAAAGCTTAAGTTGAATCAAGATGATTTTTTTTCTAAAATGGGTTCTAACATGGGTTTTTTCTCTTTTACCTTAAAATACATACCAAATATTTATAAAGATCAATTGAAAAAGTTGAAAGATAAAAATTTTTATGTAAAAAACACGAAATGGCGGATATCTGGTTAACGAAGTGATTTTGGAAAAATTTGTATAGGTACTTGATTTTCTTGGTACTTTCCTGTTAAAGGGAAAATTCATTATTATCAATGATTTTTTCTCGATATATCGATATTTTTATTTTCCGATCCATTACAAATTGACAATAACTAAAGTACTAAACTGATCATGTTTAGGCTAAAATAGTCTATTATATGGATTAAGAAATAAAACTGTCCTAAGCTAACCTAAAATAACCAACCAAACTTGCTGGACCATTTAAAAATTCCGTTTGGGTTTGATATTAGAAAAGGCAAGTTAAACATGGAATTTTTAAATGTTATAGCAAGTTTGGTTAGTTATGTTAGGTTATTTTTTTAGAACAGTTTCATTTCATTATTGTTTGTTGGTACTGAACAATATTTATCGCGTAGTTGTCAGCAGATATGTTTCAATTTGTTAATATCAATCTATCGAGAAAAAATCATCAATAATAATGAATGTTCCCTTTAACAGGAAAGTACCATTTTCTCTTTATTTTGGCCCAAGGAATCACTAGGTAAAATATGTCCCCACCTGTATAAGGTGCTTGAAAAAGATATTAAGATGAGCAATATTTCAAAGCAGTGCCAACTCTCCATGAATTTAAGGCTTTAACATTTTTCAACTTTCATAATTTCACGTAACATTAGTGATAATTCTTTTTTTTTAAGTATAAGCTTTTGAAAATAGAAAAGGGCCAGAAGATAATGCTTCCTCAATCCATCAGAGTTTCAGTTATATTTTACCTGCAACCTGCAACAATCAACAGCTCTTGGTTTCAAGGGGTAATAAAGATGGTGAACTATTTGATTTTTTCGATACACAATGCAAATAATGATTAATGCAGCTCTACTAAAGTTATGAAAACACCTCTGCTAGAAATTAGGTAAAAAAATCATGGATTTTGTAGATTGAATCTATAGTAAGACAAGTAGGTATTTATCAACTTCCTTTTAGTTAGATCCCACAGGCTCAACCTAGCTTGTACATACAGTATACTTTCGTACATAGTAGTTAGTAATAGCTTTTGATTTTTAACCGTAAGTTTTACAGCATGGGGACTATTTAAAAAAAGAAAATAAACAACTGGAGATACCATGGATTAGTAGCCACATAGCAAATTTCATCAAAATCGGACTACAGGTTTATTCTGTAGGTGTACACCGCTTCAGTATGTGTGACCTCTGCACTATGAGTACCCTAAGACCAGATGTTTCTTTAACCAAAATCATTGATTAAAGAAGTCCACAAATAAAGGATAACTGGGTCCAGTTGCAAACCTTTGTCAAGCTACTGAGTTTCCTGACATATTAAGTGGTTCTTTGAAAGTAGTATATTGGTAAATCAAGTGGTAGCTTCAGTGAGCTACTTTTGCAATTTATATTTCTTTACTCTATTAGAAATAATGTTTGATGCGGTAGTTTCCATTATACTGCTGGACAAGATTGGAACACTACAGAGGACTGCAAGGGGTTTTTAACAGTTTGTCATTGGAACTTGAGTTATAAGTTGTATTAAATTAATGCTGTTTTTTGGGCAGGTTGGTTGTTGTTCGTTTCTTTCTGGCCACAGCTATAAATTTAAGGTGTCGGTTATGATACCAAGCTATAAACTTGAACTGACAGCTCTAAACTTAAGGATTATACAGAAGGAGTAGTACTACATAGGTACAATAAAAAAATAACAAAACACTAATTTTATTATCAAAACACTTATTTGTGCTAAAACATTGCCATAAAATTATTATACAATAGTATAGTTAACATCATCATAACAGTAGAATTAAATTATTCATAAGAATAACAGGAACTCTCATCACACTATTATTATTAAATGTAAGTAAAATTCCTCTGATAATGGAGAATAAATTGTAAATAGCTCTTAAAATGCAACATATGTAAAATTTAAAACACCACAAGTTTTGTTTTGAAAACAAAAATAAAACAAAAATAATCTTTCAGTATTAAATATTTTTTACAGAAAATATTACAGTAAAACACATACATAAAATGTGCATGAATAACTTTCAGGCAACAAAGGAATAGATGAAGAGGGCAAATAAACATTATGACAGAATGAATTCATCTATGCTTTGGTAGTGGAAAGACTGTTTCAAAAAACATCATTATCAACGTAAGCAGGTGTAACAGTGAAACGTTTCGGTTTATTTTTACAGGAAGGTTCCTCGCATAAAGGGGAGTCCTTTGGCTCCACAGGACTGTTGTAGGGAGTGACTAGAGAACTCATGGCTCCCCAGTGACGAGTCAAGCTTTGGCCCATGTGGGGAGAAGCTAAAACAATATCAATGTTTATTACCTTTCAGCAAATTTCCCTAAAGGGAAGTAACGGTCCAACGTCCAAGTAACTGTGCTTGGACAAGTGGAGTCAATTAAGTGGCTTGGTGAGGTGAGGAGGTGTTTCATTTCTTTGACTGGAGGTGTTGGAATGTGCCATACCATTATCCCCAGTAAAAGACAAGAAACAACAACAAACACCTCCCGCCACCATGACTCCTCCGTGGTATTACTCATTCAGTCAGACCGCAGAAACAGAGAGACCTAACCTTGTGTAAATATTTTGTTACTATTATAAACTTGAATTTGAAAAAAAACCTGAGAACATACTATTTTCTCCAACTAAGCTAAATTTACAGCCAAAGTAACAACTGTGTAAATATCTTAGTCTTAGCTAAAAACAGAGTAAGTTAAAAATAAACTGAAAATGATTTTAAAATGGCAGACTTAGAGTTATTCCACTGACAAGTACTATAGAATAAACATATTATCTTAGAGGTTTGTTATTCTTTGACTCAGCTAATGACAATTTCAAACCAAGTTTCAGTCTTATTCAAAATAGAGTTTGATGTTTACTATTTTATTTCCCTTTATTCCATAAAAACTGAAACTAACTAATAACACACTTTACAAATTGTTACTTGTCCTCTGGTCTGAAATAGTAAAGTTTGCAAAAAAAAACCCTGTAATAGGAGAAAAATATTCTGTTGATATCAACACATTCAAACGTAATTGGACATGACAAACTAAACCAAACAGGCTTCAGATTTGACGGTAAAGTTGGGAGTTTACTCTTTGATTCTAGTCATTGGTATTGCCTTTAAATCAAAGATGGAAGCATCCTAGATTGAAAGTCAGTTAATGCACGTTATTGCACTGTCCACTGAGTGTGCCACTCCCGGCAGTGTCTTGTGTAGCACTACTGGCTCCACTGGCCAACAAATTTTTACGGGCCCCCTGCAAACTTATTTTTTGGGCCTCCCTCTCATTAATTATATTTTTAGACCACCGATACAACATAGTGAAACGCCCTCCCCCTCCCCCCAGAGTTATTTTTGGACCACCGATACAATGATCAAACAGATTATAAAAAGAGTGGTAAATAAATTATGGGTTATGTTCCATAAAAGGGTGTGTTAAGTATTTCAGTCGTGGTTTGATGAAAATGTTACATCACTACATCATTATATCAATATCAGTGTGTGTAAATAGTTTTGAAATCAAATAAAAAAACATTATTTTCCATCGTATCAGAATGTTTATATCAAGGAGGTTTTACATTTAATTTATCACACATGTTATCCATTTTTATTACCCTGATAATTAGACTAATTCGTTACAAGGCAAAAATGTGGTTCGAATTCACCTATAAACTGTAGGCCCCTTAGTGGCCTTTGGCTGTATTGGCTATTGATAAACAGCTGTGTCTAAGGAATATGTCAGCCTTAGTCCCTTTCAAAACTAAAAGGTTGGGCCACTCATCGTCATCCTACACTCATCTTCATTAATTCTTGGCTTGAAATACCTACATTGTCCAAACCAAAGTAAAGCCAACGTAAGCTTTGGTTGGTTGGGTCGTCATTTCAAAGTAAAGTATTAATTTATTAGGTTAGTTTAATCTTTGGTTATAATTAACTCATACTAAAAGATGGTTAATTTAATAGATTGACGTACTTTTATCACAGGCTAAAATAGCCTATTGCATTTTTTAATTTTATCTTTTGTGTGGATTTTAAGCGTTTAACTTACAACAAATGTCTTTGGTATTGGTTAATTGTGAGGTAAAATAAGATATGGGCTAACAAACACAGCCAGTAGAGTAGCAGTATATTGTAGTTAACAAAGTACAATCAATATTACGGCAAAACTAAAATGTAAAATAATACAATATTAAAAGCCCCAGCCAACGTTCATGACTCCAGGCTCCAAAGTAACTTATTGTTTCAAAATGTTTTCAGACGACATAAGCAATGTACGAAATCACTGAGAAGAAAAATATTTCTCTGTGACGAAAGTAAGATTGCATAATAATCAAAGACTCACGTTAAATTTGTTACCCTAGTTCGTTATCACTGAAGAGGCCTAAAGAAATTAAATGATAACAGATAACAACATATTATTAATGACATTAATGTTATTACTTGTTCAATACAATTATTGAATGATTGATAATACATTTAAATAAGAATGAGCTCCAATTTTTCCGTTTTCAGCCCCACTCGTCTCACGGGCCTCTCTGCTAACCGTTTCCCGCTCACCGGTTCGCGGGCCCCCTTAGCTCCCGGGCCCCCCCCCCGCATTGCGGGCCCTGCGGGCCCTTCTGTTACACCACTGCCACTGGCTTACCAATCGTAACGATACTTCACTGCTTTAGATCAGTGCACATACCAATAGCCTGTGCTTTGTGGTGAAGGGCAGTCGAGTCTTGAAAAAAGTGAGTTAAAATGCCTAGTAGAGTTGAAGAGGTAAGTACCATTAAAACTAATATATAACGTTACTCCCTGATATTTTCTACTTTTTACAAATCTCTCTGTACCAAAATTAACAGCTTCTGTACAACGTTCTGATGGAGAGAAACAGAACTATAAAATGGAACTGTCGACTAAACAAGGTGTTGGATGAAAAAAATTGAAACAGTTGATTATGCTTTTCCAACCCAAAAATTGAACAAGATTATAACTGAACAACGAAAAGATTAAAAGGAATCCCTTTAGTATGGATCGTGTTGATTAGGATGGTGTGTGTGTAGGGGTTGTGGGGGAGGGTAAGGCTCCCAACAACAGTGAGAGTCACAGCACTAGATACTAGTGGCATTAAGATAATAAAACAGCAATTAATTGTTGAGAATGCTGTATAAAATAGCAAGAACAAGAACGTGGTGGGGAACGGTTCTCGTGGACATGCGCAACCCGCTCGCCACTCTAATGGACACTATCCTACTCAGGACCTGTTAATGGTTTTAAATTTAAAACAGAATCATCGAACAATTTTTGTATTAATTTCAACTGTTTTTGTAATTTTCCAAAATGATGTTTACAATTTTTTCCATTCCTAAGTTTAAAGAAATTTTCCTCAGGGGAATTTCTAAACGTAAAGAGGGGGAAAGCTACAAGTTAACTTGCACTGATTTTGTTTCTAGACTATGCATACACATACACTTAATGTCTTAAATTGAAGTTTCTGGATCACCACTCGGTAACAGTAATAGAAAACTTCCTGATATTGCTTTAAAATGGCTTGAATTTATGATATCAGCCTTAAAAATGGTCCAGAACCCTTTATTCCATTTAATGTCATGTATATGTGTGTTACACTGAGCTATAACTGGAGGCAGTACTAATTTAGAGTTTGACTATTTCAAAGTGCTGTTGAGTTGTAAGGTCAGTAAGGTGTTAAGTGTACCTTTTCTTGTCCATCCAAATAAAAATCCTGATTGGTTGATTCATTGATTCTGTCGGGGCGGACATTGTCCTGTTCCACGTCAGCCAGGCTTTTTGTGCTCCCCGCTTGGTGCTTGATGAACTGCAGTATCCTATCTATGAGCTCCTCCTGAGTAAGGTGTCTGCCCTTCTCAGTGTTCCAAGAGTGCTATCCCTTACCTCGTTCAAAGCTGTGCTGTCATAGAGAAGATGATCTGCAGTCTCCTTGGACTGCTCACATTTTCTGAATACAGTGTCTCCATTGTGGATCCTCAGTAAAAATCCTGTTCAATGGTTCAAGAAAATCCCATTTTATTCCCCAATGAATGTCGTAAAAAATCTTGTTGTATCCCGCATCCCCAAACGGTCTAAAAATCCTGTTTTCAGGATGAAAATCCTGCGTATGGAAACACTGAAACCATCCCAGTATACTACAAAATAGCTGACAGCAATACAACATTTCTTTGAGAAGTGCTTCCCCAGGTACTCATTATAGCTAAATGATCTAAAAAACACACTACATAACGGACAGAGATCCTTAATATTATCTTGATCTGATCCACGGCTATCACAAATCTAAGGAGGCGGTGTAATTAATCCATACAATAGATCGTGTCGTTTAGAGTGGCGAGCGGGATAGGCATTTTCCACAAGAACCCTTCCCCTACAACCATTGCTTTTGTTATTTTGTATAGTTAATTGTCTCAACAGTAAATAGTTTAAAAGTACAAAATTACGTCAAATCACACTTTTAACAAATAAAGCCTATTTACACTTATACTGTTTACTCACAAGACGGTAAATACATATAAAAGATGCAGGTAAGTGGTGATTGATTTCGATTGGACTCTCTAATCATCATCAGACCCAATAGGCGAATTACAAGAATCTCAATATGGCGTCCCTTGTACACTATTGGCTACCACAAGTACCGGCCAAGAAGTTTCTATAAGTACTACTGGAGTCAAAATTCACTTGTTCATTAATTAGCTTATTTCTATTTTTACATTTTTCCCTAAATATAAAATTTTTTCCAAGCATTCATCACATTTCCTTTCTTACAATTGTTTAAAATACATACATTTTCCTTACAATTTTCCCGACATTTGATCTTTTCAGTTTGTTGTTTTTCCATAAAGAGACATGGTTTTTGAAACGTTTAACAAAGTTTACAGTTTGTCCTATGTAACACCTATCACAATGGTTCCAATTTATTTTGTAGAACCCCGAAGTGTCAAATTCATTAGTAATTCATCAATTTGTGGAAGCAATATTTTACAATAAGATATATGTATTTATTTAGATATATGTCTTGTGAGTAAACAGTATAAGTGTATATATATTTATTACAAGTGTTATTTAATGTATGTTTGTACTTTCAGGTAATTTAATAATACTTATGATGCTGATCAAGAAGTTTTTTAATCCAATTAATAGCTGTTGAATATTTTAATACCACTATCATCTAGTAGTGTGACTCAAGGGAGTCTAGTGGTAGAGTTTTGGACATTGTTCCCCGAGGCCCCAGATTCTAATCCTGTCAACCACCAATGGATAATCGATTTTACCTAAATGAAATGCCGCAACCTCTCTTGGAGTAGTCGGAAAAAAAATCCCAGACTAGAGTCTAGGTAGAATTAGTGTTGTTGAGAGCCTTTCCTTCATCTTTTTACCTTGTAACATACCTGGAGTGGTAGGTGCCCTGTTGAGAGTGCTAGGCAGGTGAGTTGGTCGCTGGAGCACGTTGGGTCGTACGGTCAGTTGATGCCACATTGACGCAAGGTCCTGCACTGTGAGGCGGTTCAAGTCAGGCATAGCTCCATACGCTGACCACGTGTTCTGGTTCATGTTGATCCTCTGAATCATCAGGTTATAGATTAATTATAATAGTAGGTGTTTACGGTACAAGTGTGAAAGTTTCAGGGTATGGCTTGTGAAGAAAAAACCTGAGGAAGCCGTTTTTGATATACATATTTTAAGGAAGTGGCTTAAAACTTTGCGCTTGCTTGTCCTTATGGGCCTGAAAGGACAGTGCGTGGAACCTTTGAATACAGCAGACCCCCTCCTAACCGACCCCTCATTAACCAATAAACGGATTATCCCCCCTCGCTCGTAACAATACAATTTGTTTTTTCCGACCTTGTTTTGAGAGCAATTTGGTTTAACCGCTGCTTTCTAGGAATCTCCGGATTTCCGTTCCCATGTTTGGTGATGGGAACAATACACTAAAATCTACAGAATGTTACTAAGAACAAGTTTTTTTGTATTTATCCTAAATAAACATCCTGTCTCGCAACAAAATGGTTGCTTGTATCTTTAATTTTGACAATAATATTGATACTGTATTACAACAAATTTGGAAAGTATCAATTGATATGACTTACTAAAGATATTATAATATAGGGAGTCTCAAGTCTACTGAATTAATAGAACTAGACTAGATGTAATTCAAGTGCTAATGTTTTTTTTTTGTTTTTGTTTTTTTTTGTTGACAATAAAATGAACATACTATAATTGTGTTACATATTAAATAAAAGATGTGTAAAATAAAATAGGTGTCTTCTGAAATGAATCCTAAATGACAATGATTGTAAACAAAAACAAAGTTAACTTATTAAACATAACATATGGTATTTTTTTAAACATACAGTATGTTAGAAAAGACACATCAATTTTCCCCCTTT